CGTAAATTGCGTATAATATGTATTATGTATATTATAATAATATTACAAGTGCGGTGGCCGAATTAATTTGAAGCTGCTGCACAGCATTTTCGTTTAATTATAATAGGTAGGTATGTACGAGGACAAAGTACACATTTATAATTCATTTTAAAACGGAGTTACGTGTTAGGAATACCACAACAATTGCCACCTCCCAGTGGCGTATCTACGGGGGGGGGGATATGGGGGTCATATCCCCCCCCGGGAAGGTTATTTTAATTTTTTTAATTTTATTAAAACAATTATTTGATAGTTGTATGAAGATTGAACAGCTCACCTAAAACCTAACCTATGAACGAAAATGAATGGTATTAAATTCAATAATATCATACAACCAGTGGCATCATTTCGTTTTTCAATAGAGGGGGCAAAGGTTTTGACCAGCCCGATGAATGGGTAAAAAAAAACTGCTCACAACTACATATTATCTGCTTAAATTTGTTTATGGTACCCTTTTTATTAACTAGGTATCATAATTTTTAAATATAAGGTAGCAGACATTTAAAAAAAAACAATTGTATACATATATCAGTTAAATGTCTGCAAACTATTATACGGCTATATTTATATTGATAAACGAAAATATTAGTAGTTTATTAGGATATCTTCTTTTTTTGAAAATATATCAACTGCATTATCTATAAATCAATTTTACCTGATTCCTCACTTATTGTCCATACTCTATTGCTCTTATATTGGTATACAATATATTTACAAATTAATATTATCTTAAATAAAATATATTTTTTTTATTGCTTAGTTATCACCTCAAGTTTTATCTGTTTATTAAACATACCGGAAATTATTTTCGATTCTTGAGCAGTTTGCGTTAATTTAATATTTTTAGCCACACAACCCATTTATTTTTTGTCAACCCAGTCATATTTTGATCAAATTAAAAGATTAATGTAAACACGCGTCACGAAAAAAATACATTTTAATTTAGGTAGAATAAGGTACTCAACTTAAATATTAACACAATACCCAGAATAGTTGAATCATACACGACTGTTGTAAGTTAACTGAAGTCCGTGATCAATGATAATTAATAAAAGTTCCAATCGGTTGTTGTTTTTAGAGTTTGTATTAGGTAGTTTTAGATTTTAGAAATTAAACTATACTAGATTATGATACCTACTAATTATTATTATTATTTTTACACATTACAAAATTTTTATATCCCCCCCCTTGAAAAAATCCTAGATACGCTACTGCCACCTCCCGCAGTAGAGTTCATACAAGTGCAGTATATTATTATTTTATCATACGACCGAGAGCATACAACATCTAAAAGTTAATAAACACACGTATTATTATATGTAAAATATATACCAATTTTGTTATAATATGATTGTAAGTCGTGTTATACGCTTGAAACAAGTCCATGTAATAGACTACAACTATCAAATACGTTTAGAAGAATAATTCGCACTTAGTAACATTTAATGTTCTCATTAGAATTTAGTTTTAAATTTATTATTATGGTTTTCAAGGTTATACAGTATACTAATTACTAAATTACGAATAATTAAAAAATTCTCATCAGCCGTTTTTTAATGTTACTGCATAGGTAAAAGGAGCACACTTATATAATGCAGACATTTGACATTTTGTATTTATTAGTTTTTTTCGTTTTATGTTAATGACATTTTTTTAGGTAAAAGAAGCTTAAATACTTAATTGGTTTATAATTAGTTTTTATTGTAGCAAATAATATGGACAATTTTCAATTTTTTGTTTCTATAAGCGTTATTTGATGGTCAAATTCACATAATTTTAAATTTTAATAACAAGCTTTTAAATTAAAATAATAGGTTTCACTGAAGTTTTTAAACTAAAATATAAAAAAATTGAATTTGTTCACTGTGGGTATTTAAAAATAAAACGAATTGTGATATACAAAATATTAGAAATTAAATATTAGGTACAGTTTAAATTATTATTATTTAAATAACACACGTTTTTCGGAATAGTCTTTACACTTGTCTGTTTCTTTTGAGAAGTTTCTAGGAAAAAAATGCTATACGTACAGCCTTTAGGTGCGGCTCCAGAGACTTAACTAAAGGGGGGGGGGCTTAGTCAAAATTTTAAGAAAACGATAGTAATTAAAAAAAAAAATAAATATCATAATCACTAGGTATAATAAGTTTTTAACAATATATACATTTTTTTTAAAAATCATTCTTCAAGTGACGTAAATGAATAAGTTATTATCGGGAAGGGTATGGATATATTTACCAAATCCTATCTAGAGTACCTAGTTGGTTGGCTATTTTCACTACACAAACCAGTCTAATGAATCTGGTTGTTTGACTGATATAAATAACATTTCATTAATTATATTTTACAGGACCTAGAAACTTACGGCCTATGTTCATTAGCTAACACAATCGAACATGATATAACAATGTATGATGCATAAATATTTAATCCAATGTCTAAAATAGTAATGAAATAATACACTACATATCAGTACATCACCTGAGTAATCCTGTTCTTGAGGGTGGTATTGAAGATCACGGGAGTAGAGGAGTAAAAGTTGAACGATTTAATATATCAATGCGTATGATGGCAAAAATAGTACGTTTTTTTTTAATGAGATAGATTATTATACCTATCTAAAATAAATTAATTTAAACTATTATGTTAAACACGTACCTAGAGTTGACTGTTGTTAGTATCTACTTCACGATCAGAACCCGACAACTGACTATGTAAATAATAATGAATACGCTCGTACTCAACGTTCCCGTGTTTTGCCGACCTAAGCAAATTCACTTAGTGGGACGTAAATGACGAGTCAGTGATCTGTAAATCGTCACTGTGTCTGGCTTTAACTGAGAGATCTGACAATTTGGATGGTGTTGGAGTTTTGAGTGAAATCTGTTGGGTAGTTAATCACATTTTTTTTCTTCATAAAATGCATATACTGTCCCAGCGTGTTCTTACCAATTTTATACTTTTGCAAGCTATAGCACGGTGAATACCATTGAATAACCATTCATTAACTTAATATATTTATAAATATATTGCCATATTGGGTACCTATAATAGTCAGAATAAACCGATTTACTAGACTTGTACAACAACGTAATTTTATATTTAAATCAATAGTTTTACTTTTTAATATGCGGGTACATTTTACTAACGAGTACACCTGAAAATCTGAACATATAGTATCGATACGCGCAGTGATACGGATTGTTTAATTTAATTATTTACACAATAATAATTAAGAATTTTTGAAGTACCTATATAGTATAATATAGATTATACATAAGATAAGATTAACAATAATGAGGCAATTTATTAGCAAAAAAACAGTTTTTATCTTTATATCTAAATACTAGCTTAATGTGAAAAAGATTTGTTTTTTCGATAAATATATTTGTAAAAAAAATGTATTTTCCATATTTCTACTATAATTATAATAGTAATATAATATATGCAACATTTAAATTGATAAAAAAAAATGTTCTACCTATAGGGATTGTAAAAATAAACTATAAACACCGCTCAATCTCTTAAGGAATTTATTGATATAATTTTTATTAAAAGTAGTCCAGTAGTTTATGAGTACCTACCTCCTTAGGTGCATATGTTAAATTCGGATAAACCAACATCCATTTTTAGCTGTATTATCACCCGACTTCATCCGTATAAATTATATTTTAAAAATAATCATGTGATGTTATAAACGATTTTGTTTCTTATGAAAATCTTGGAGAGGGGTCCAAGCCAACCCCCCCCCCCCATAAATGGCGCTTACGTTATGCTACAGTGTTGTGCTTCCAAGACAACTTAAAGAGTTAGGAGTAATTTTTAGCAAATTTAGAAGCTGGATAATTAATCCTAATAGTATTTAAGTAAAGTACCTATACTTACATAAGAAATTAAAAACACTAACCGTCCGTGAAATTGGTCCTCGACATGGTTCTCACTATCCGATCGATTCAAAAAATATGTTAATGTTTTGTAAATCAATTGCAAATAATTAACAATCGATCTTTAGTTTTCGTAAATAAATAATTTGTTTTTTAGGTTAATTGTATTGGACACAATATTGTTATTGGGGGTAACTGTATGAAGTTGGCCCTCCCAAAAATTGTATTTCACCTATAATATTTTAATGAGATGGCGGCGGGAAGTGGTCACAGTTGTGAGTTGGGACTGTTAAGGCGGGTAATAAGTAATAACTCACAAATATTCTGAAAATAATCTAAAAGATATTCTGAACAAAATTGATTCTGAAGTTATCATTCATAAAATAGGAGCTACAGGAGCCCAGTATTTGGTAGAATGTTATTATTTAAAAAATTAAAAATAAATAAATGATTTAAAAAATGTGTTTTGTTGTACAATGTTTTCTTTTGATATGATAGCTCATATAATTCACCTAATAATGTACTTGCGAGCGAAGTAAGCTTATTTTTTTTTTCATGTGTGCCAGGGGACACCTTTTAATAATTTTCCGATAGGCCAAAAATGGGTATTCATAGGTATATAGTATTTACGTAATACCTAATACGTATAGGTACGTACCTAAATGTAGTTTTAGACGTTTTAGTATTAATCGTACTGCAGGATAAACTATTTTTACCTACTCATCCATCCAAAACTTGAGGTGGTTCAAATGCACCACCTTAACTGCGTACTCGGCGCCACTGTGCGAGCGTGTGCGCATAGTACACTGTGTACACTACGATGACAATGTCGATTTTGATAGATGAGATAATAATATTATGTGTTTTTAGTGGGTGTGGTTTCTTAGCAACACGTTGGGTCAATGACTGAAATTGTATTATATTACCTATATATAATGCACCTACACGATAACATGGTATAATGGCTGGTATCCCAGACGCTCATCTTGTTCCGTCCGCTTTATTACAATATGATACACATTTCGCGTGGTAGTGGCGTCGGTATCGTAGACAATTGCACTGCATTGAATCGGTAAAATGTCCAACTCTGAGCTGCACAAAGAACCGAAACAGCCTAATAATAACAACAACAACAACAATAATAATAAAAATAATAATGCTAAACCACAGCAACAGCAGCAGCAAGAAAGGAAGAAAAATAAAAAGATAGACAAAGTACAATGTGACGGCAGACTGTGAGTAAAAAAGAAAAATCTTGTGAAATCTTCATACTTAATAACGAATAGGTAGTTTTGTTTTAAATTTTTTAAAATTATTGCCATTGTATAGTTAAGTTTTATTTTCGTCACAGGAAAATTATAATAAACAGAGAAAATGAATTGCGAGCCAGATGGCCAGAACGGTGGGGGTTTTATTCGAAGAATAACGTGGAAGCAGTAAGTGGACCTATTATACCTATTGTTTCATTAATTTGTGTTTTGATTTGTATTTTAGATTTTGAGCAGAGTGTTGAATGTATTAATTTTACAATGAAGTGTGTTTTTTTTTGTTTGAAGACACTTTATAGCAGAAAAAATGCTTCGATTTTCTACTTCAGCATAATATCTGGTAGAAGGGTGAAAATATAAGGTATAGACTATCTGATACCTATAAGTTTTATTAAGTTTTATTTACTGGGGTCAAAAGTAAAAATTCCCGGGTAATATAAAATGATATACTTATTTATACGATGAAAAACGATTTTAGTTATTTTTATATAATTCAAAAATATTAGTTCTGGACACTTTGACGTACCTACCAATATTATTATATGCACGCGATAACATTTTCAAAATATTTACATTGATTTTATGCTATATTGCCTATTAATAGCATGAACCTATTCACACTGTACCACAAAATAAGCGAATCGATTTTCCCAATTATTAAGAAAATTACTTCAACTTTACTTTTAACCACCCGGCACCCATAGGACTACGTACGTCTACTTATGACCTATCATGTTATGTTGGTACCTATCGGCTATCATGTGTGTTGTGTGTATATATATTTTATACTAGGTATTGTTGTATAATGTAATGTAAGAGTTACCTATAAATAATAGTATGCTTATTACTAAATACCATAATTATTTAGGTAGGTACCTACCTTTAACCTATCAAACAAAATGATTTTAATTAAGAATTTTACCATTTTTACCTATATCAATGATTTATTGATACAACTTAAAATGATTTTGAGCAACTGATAGTTTAATAATTTTCAATTGAGACATTTTCCAAGTAATTTTATGTATAAACAATTATAATATGCATACTATAATTTTTTCTTAATTTATTATTTGTGGCATACGTTGGTATACATAATTATGCGTAGATAGGTGAATTCTACAATGCTTTTTGCATACAATTTGGGGCCCTTAAAATAATAATATTATTAGGCACTGTAGGTATTTATGTAATACACAGTTATCGCGTGGAATGGGCCGACAAGAAATCACTGAAGGTATATTGTGGTCCATCATCGCTGTAAATCGCGGCATAGGCGAAAATTGGGGGGTGGGGGCTAAGCCCCCCCCCAAAACCTAGGACATACAATTTTAATATGCTATATTGCAATGGTCTGCTTGCCTTTAATATATATTCAGCGCTCCCAAGCCAAAAGTTGAAATTGCGCCTATGGATCGCGGTCTATCCTATACGGTAGGTACCTATACTGCCTACCCAGTACCCATAGGCGCAAATAGTAATAATTTTAGGGGCTGAACTCGGGTCTATAATAGATAGTCTTATGAGTTATGATGCTTTAATGTCATAACATGTACAAGTCATTAGATTTTTTTTGGGCTAAGACCCCCCCCCCCCATCACCACTGTGCCCAACAGAATTTCAAATCTGAGCAATGAGCTTAAAACTAAGTTTTTACACTCAATTCAAATGAATCAAAATGCATTTTTCATTTAAAACTAAAAACCTGGTAGGCAAAACTATGAACGGTGAACACGAAATGTGGAAAAAACAAAGTCTTAGCTCCGAGGTCATCAATATTATACTAACCAAATTATTGCAAAAGCCTCTTGTGCATTTATACTGAGACTATTCCGTTTCGCATAAGGTTTCGTCGTATGTGGCCTGTGCAATGATCCCACGCCCCGGGAGACTGGTCTTTTATGAAACGTAGGTAATACAATATTGATAGCAAGTAAGACTTAATAAATCAACTGTCAATCTGAAATTCGACAACATTGTAGACATTTTAGATTTTTTGATAAATACACCATAGACGCTATATAATTTGTATAGTCAAAATACTCAAAATGCCAAATAGATAGAATTATATAAATTGTTAATTTAAATGTTTGTAGATGTGGAGCGAACATGCTGTCAGTTTAGGATTACCGGAAAATTTTATCGATCTCAGAAGACAAAAACTGCGTAAACAAGATAGAATTCAACCGTTGATCGACGCAGTACCATCACCATTGTGCATTCCCATAACGTCGTCAGGTAAATTTCTTAATTCCTGTATAATATGATTCTATAATGACGCATTCACAGGTTTTGTAGGATGGCGTTCTGCGCAAGGAATTTGTAATTTAGAAATGTTTGGCAGGACTTTTGATTACAATAGATTAGATACTCGGATGTTAAAACCAGACAATGAGCCAGATCAAAAGCTACAGAGATTTATTATTCTAGGATAAATGTTTGTAAGAATGAATGCTAAAAAAAAAAATAATAATAATATTATTATATTTATCACACAATTCTGTTAGTCAAGTAGGTACCTATAAACGTACTTATTTTTTTTTTGTATACCTTCAGTTGGAGACTTTTTTAAAATCAATGTTGATTTACTTCAATTGCAACCAGTTCTTCTCCACCAAGTGCTAAATAACAAAAACCAAATATTATTCATGTTTAAAAAAATATAATACAAATAAATATTTCAAGCATAATACAATGTAATAATAACTAGAATTTAATATTGTGGTTTTTTTTTATATGTATTTATATATTTTAACAGTATTGTAAATTTAATTATACTGCGTAAATGTATATGAATATAGAATTTAAATTAATCAATAAACCTTTTATTGGTTAAGGATATGTTGGTGTTTTTAATATGATTAAGATAATCAAGTTGTTTAAATTTATGCATAATATAGTATTATAGTATAGTACTGTAGTATTATAGTAATGTATTGGGTTAATGTTTATTTTCCAAACCATGTTAAATCATTCACTGCACATATATAAGTATTCAGAAAATGTGAGTCAAAGAATTATAAATTATCATTTACTATACAATTAAATAAATAATTTATAATAAAATGTAACAGAAAAACAAAAATTATGTAAATGTCGTTTCCAAAAATACCACTTTAGACACTTACAATAAAATATGTATTAAATGTTTGAAATAATTGAAATCTATAAACAGTAAGTAAGTAAATAATTAATATTGTTCTAGTTTTGAGCAAGGAAGTCTATAACTTACAGGTACTAGTATCGATTCAGTATTTTCATGTTTGGTGGCCAACCCCATAACTCACAAGTATTTGCTATCAGATGAAAATACTAACTGTGCAAAAACATTAGGATAAACTGGTTGTATTTTTAACCATTGGTTCACAAGTGGCAGAATTCTATGTTACATATTAGAATATATTTAAATGGACAGTTAAAAACCACAGTGCAATTAAATCAATTTAATATGTGATTGTAGAATAAATCTGTACCACAGAAGTCAAGTAACACAAGTAAATTGTTTGAAATATTGAGTTAATTCTTTAATCAGAATATTCTTGTGATCGTTTTAAAGGTATTAAAACGGAAGTCCTACTTACAATAAATTCATAGATAGTAAAAGGTATACAGATGTAAGTCCTAAACCATATTGGAAGTATTAAAACTTATGTCTAGCGTAATACATTAGAATAGTAATACTAAATAATATTATTGAAGTACACAATCATAAGTCAATTTGCGACAAAAATGAGGTTTTGTCTTCCCTGTAAAATTTTCTTTTTGTCACTTGTGTTACTTGACCTCTGTGATACAGAAATATATTTTGCATACAGTAATCAAATTAATGATTGAACGTTGCACATAGTCATTTTCTGAATATTTAATGGCTAACAGTTTAGATAATTTGTTTTCATATTTATGTTAATCACCCAAATACCAAACATCTTCTTTTTTTTTACATGACACCGCCACATGGACGCTGGACTGTTTACACATTACTTAGCCCCCTGCAGCATCGTTTATTCAAGGTAATATATTAATATAGTATCATTTCAATATTAAATTGAGTTGCTCTTATGACACCGAAGCCCACTTTCCTTAGCAATTGCTAGGTTGTATATGTTGGCTCCAGACGGCACGAGAGTATATAGTTTTTCTATTTATATAGATCAGGCCAATCTGAGCAAGCTCTCCTAAACTACTTGTTCCAAGGTCTTCTTCGTGGACCAGCCATAGCCAGCTGTTTTGCGTATTCTCTTCTTGAGCCGGATGACACCCGCCGCTCTCAAACTTGGTTGTAATTCTACCGCTTGTCATGCCTTTTCCTTTTTCTCATTGAGGGTCAGGATATCCTCCACTATTTTGTAGGTGTTATTTATCACCTGATTGTCTCTTCGGCTTCCTTCATTGCATAAGCTCCCGAGGTGAAAATACCATACATCTAAATGGCATATATATAACATCAATACATTATAAACATCTGGAGCTATATTTCTGATGACTGAAATGAATATTATATACTCTGTTCAAAATAAGATCGTGACCCGGCGGCGACCAGTTTTCGTCGGGCGGCGGTCAGACATATAACCAGATGCCGTCCCCACTACAGCGACGCGTCGGACGCAGCCACGGAACAAAGCCACGCCCATGCGCACAACTCGGCCGCCGGGTCACGATCTTATTTTGAACAGAGTATAGTTTTAAATTAATTTAAAGCTTCTGATACATGTATTTAACTTATTAAATTAAAGAAAAATAACTAACAAACATCAAGGTAGGTTATTTGACTATAATATATTTTGGGGTATAACTGCTCACTAATTATTGATAATTATCCATCAATACCTATAGAATAATAAATATTATTCCTATGTAAAGAGTAGCATATAGATAAATATAATATATTATAATATAATTACCCCCTGAAAATTGTTTAAAATTAACTACACAAGGACTGGTAAAAAAGGTCACTGGATGATACACAATTTAAAGGGCAAATAACAAAATGTGTTTGGGCGAATTTAGAACATTTGGATTATTTATAAAATATTAATATATTTTATTTTGTTTTAAAAAAATATTAAATATGTGTTAAAAACTTAAATAAGTACCAAGTTACAACAAACTTTCAATCAAAATTGAACAATATTAGATTACTAATAATCGTAAGTTGGTAACGATCTGCCGTTCATTAGGTGTCTAGTTTTTAAATCAGGGACTGGAACCTTTTGAATTTATCGGTATCGGTTCCGGTAGAGGTTCTCCAAAAATAAAAAAACAGTTCCGGTTCTTTGATGAAAAAAATAATGGTACCGGTTCCAAATAATTTCGGTATCGAAATGTATAATAATTTTAAATACCTATACGGAATGAGGGTTTAATTAATAGTAGATAAATATTAGAAAACTCAAAATATGATCATACATCGATTATGCGCAAAACAGTAATAGTTTTAAAATTATGATAAATAAAATAATTTTACTTTTGAACCTAAAAGTACCTTTTTTAATGTTCGGTTCCAGTCTCTGCTTTAAATATATAATATATATTAAGCAAATGTATTGTATGGCAAGCAATGCTGTAGCATCCCAGCATCCTAATTCCCAGCCAGTCTACGGTATGTAGTTGAATAAGTTGTACACTTCTCATCTATTTGTTGCATATTTTAGTGATCATGTCTGATTTCGTGAATATTTGCTCATAACAAACAATGAAGTGAAATAACACCTAAAATATTTAATGTTAAATAAATAAAGTATAAATTAACACTATTTAATTGTTATAACATGAATAGTAAGGTAGGATACAGAGTAGGGCACAAATGTAAATTACATTTAAGTATTTTACTATTTGATATAAATGTATTATATTTAAAATGTTGCAAATAATAAAGAACTTCTACTAAAAAATTAAAATGAATACAGTGAAGAGCCCTAGTTAAGAAGCCAATATACTACTATGCCAGTTTAGGGGTTGGTCATTCATGAAATGTCTTGATAATAATTTAAAAAAATGTTAGTTTGTTCATAATACCTATGTTTTAATTTTTAAATCAAAACCTGAATCTTCCACATATTATTATCATTAGGTTATAAAACACAATTTTTTCTCTACATCTCATCAAGTTCAAATATAATTTGTTTATTGTATGCTGTTACCTAATTATTAGTACCTATCTAATACAGCTGAGTTTGCAAATAGCTCTTTATATTATAACAATAAATACTTACCATTGCAATAAACTTTAGTTCGTAGACTGTATTCATCTAAGCATATCGTAAGTTCAATTGATCTGAGTGCTTGGAAATTGGCAATATGATTGTGCATTTATTTCCATCCCAATAACATCATTTAGCACTAAAACATAAAGGTTAAAAACAGTAAAAGTCATAAAAGATAATTTTTACCGGGAACCACGAACTATATAAGATTGAATAATAATTAAATTTGAAATTTGAATTGACATTCAAATACTGGATTGGAAACGAAACCAGACATTCCGGACTCAGGAGGTCGGAGATCTCGAGTGCGACAACGAGAGCCTTTTCCACTTTTACAGTAGTTATTATAGTTATGCCATAGAATAATTTATACCACGATGTAGAGAAGATCTTTTCGATTCTATGGTGGTAATTTTTATAAATGTGTTTAATACTGTATAATACAGAATACAACATTACAATTTACAACTCTATGAGCAAGGTGGATGTGGATGACTAGTGGCGTTATGCCCTTATCACTTATCAGTTATCAGTTATCACCATAGACATAATATATTACCTATATTACCTATATTACCTATATTATGTCTATGGTTATCACCTAGATCCCCATGGTTATCTAGATCCCCATGGTTATCTAGATCCCCATGGTCAACTAGATCCCCTGTGGTCACATTTATTATAAAGATTATTAATAAGTTTTTTAAACTAAAGTTCTTTATAATCGTGCCTGTGGTCAACAAGATAGCTGTTGCCTGTTAGATACATAGACCTTGTCTATGGTTATAGATAGATTCGCCTTCCCATCGATGCATTATTTCGAGTATTTCGACTACTTATCGTGTACACATCTTATATACTTATCGCCATACGAAATAATAATAATAATAATAATAATAATAATAATAATCGTGTACACAGACACAAATAATAAAAAAAAATAAAAACAACCCACATTATTTTAAAATCAATACATTCATCGCTCCGCTCAGAATCTATAAAATTATCCCCCAGAGTAAAAACAATCCGTAAACTAATTAAATTTAAATTTTACTAAAAATATTGTTTTAAACAAACGTTTTCTATTGATATTTAAAACATGTGTTTAAACGTAAAAAAACAAAAGTCAAACACTTAAATTTTGGAAAGAATTCTACATCATCCGCAAAAACTATTAAAATATATTATGGTATAAAAAAGAAAATGTTAATATATTCAGGTACACAATACCG